TTTTGCACATTATCTTCTGCGTGAGAATTGATCGTAATAGATACGGATCTGAATAATGCAGCGTTTTTGCTGCATTAAAAATGCAACATTTAGCACTTGCGAACATATGTTTTCGAAGAGCGTTCATGCTATAGCATTTAGCAAATGTACATTTACGCGAGTTCGAAATCGTATGCTTTTGACAAACAGCCGTGTTCCAGTCTCTTATTTAGATGCGTATATATTACGATCAATTCTCACACTGGAGATAATGTGCAAAAACCCTACTGAAAAGGAAAAAATAAATTTTAAACCAAAAATTCAATACAAAAACTTGAATTGTTTTAACCATAACCGAAAATTTGTTTGTGTATATATTCATTTGTAGGTGCTGTCAATTAAAATTTTCTCACTTAATTACGAAACAAAACGAACCGTGTTGATCACAAATTGATCCAGATTTCTATCAGCATCAAATCGATGTTGAATTTGCTTAACTTTTCTTTATCCAAATGGGTAATGCAAAATAAAAGAAATCTCGATCGGCGATCACTGAAACGTAGCTAGCAACTGTATTGTGGCGAATACTGCGGCAACACAAAGCGAACAACGAGAAATAGGCAGAATGTTCGAAGAATGACGTAGAATGTTCCACAAAGAGGAACGTCAAGTTGGATGAACACTGCGAACAGCGAGAGAAAGAGAATGAGCGATAAACTTCAGAATGTTCTAGAGTTGCCATAAGTGCCAGCGCAGGTATATAAGGGCGCCGCCACCACGAGGTGAGTTAGTTACAAGTCAGCAAGCTACAAGTAAAGTGAGCGGAGAATTGAGTGGCGAATAAGCAAGCTATAAGTTTAATTGTGTTAACAAGTAGTAAAGCGTTGTTATTGCTTTAACAAGTATTGTAAAGTGTTTTTTACTGTATTAGCAAGTATTGTAAATTGTTTGTTGTACAATAAAGTTAATTGTACTACAATTTGGTCATCGTTAGCATTTATTTAACAATCCAGCGATACGAGCCCGAGTATATTTGGGAAATCCCTCAAGGTTTCGAGGATAATCGTAACAATTGGTGTCAGAAGTGGGATTGTTAAATAAATCCCGAAGGAGAAACTACTAAAAATGGCGAAAATTCAGGACTTAAAAATTGAGGAGCTGAAACAGGAGTAGGAAAAGCGTAATTTGGCCCCCTCCGGAAGAAAAGTGGAATTGTTATCCCGGTTGCGAGAGGCTATGAAAGCTGAAGGCATCGACGTGGACAAATACGACTTCCAAGGTAATCCCGACGATACATCCGCAAAGGACGAACAGAAGGATGAGGCTGCATGTTCGTCAAAGGATGTGCAACAGACATCCGGGAAGGTTGAAGAACAGCAAAATGCTCCTTGTTCATCAACAGGTATGGACATGAACACGTTATTGGCTGCCATGTCACAGATGATGCAGGAACAGAGGTCGCAGTTGTCGTCAGACGTTTCCTCACAGATGCAAGCCTTGGAAACACGTATATCTTCCGAGGTATCAGCGCAGGTGTCATCGCAGGTGTCATCCCGGTTAGAAACTCAGCTACAGGCACAGGAGGCACGCATATCATCACAGCTGGAAGCACAGGATGAAAAAATTACACAAATACAGGACAAACTTGAAGAGAGACAGGAGAAAGTCGAGGCTAAGGTAGAAGAGTTGGAAGGTCGCCTCCGAGATATGCAGTTGAATCGCCCACCTTCTTCGACCAGCGCGCCCAAGGTAAAGACTCCATCCTTTGACGGCACGATTCCTTTCCAAGTCTTTAAGCTCCAGTTTGAGAAGACAGCTACAGCAAATCACTGGAGCATGGAGGATAAATCCGCTGCATTGTTCGTTGCATTAAAAGGACCTGCAGCGGAAATCTTGCAGACTATTCCTGATTGTGAAAGGAACAGTTACGATGCGTTAATGGGTGCAGTGGAAAGACGTTATGGTAGCGAGCACAGGAGACAGATTTACCAGATGGAGCTGGAGAATCGCTGCCAGAAATCCAACGAGACTTTACAGGAATTCGCCTCTGAGATTGATAGGCTGGCTCATTTGGCAATTGGAGACGCATCTGGTGAGCACCTTGAAAGAGTAAAAATCCAGAGGTTCATCAACGGAATGCGGGACATGTATACCAAGCGAGAGACGTACGCGAATCCAAAGGCAACATTTGCTGAAACCGTCTCGTATGCTCAGACGCGTGAAACGGCGGCGCTCCTAAGTAGACCAGCCTACAAAGCACATCGTGTGGAAGTGGAAGCACCGGAAGAGACAAATGAAATGCTGAAGAAGATTATCAAACTGCTGGGCGAGAAAAAGCATGGTTCTGGCAAATGTTTTAAATGTGGAAAGTCACGCCACTTCGCCCGCGATTGCAGCGCAAGTTCCAATGGTCACAACAATTCAGCAGGACGCAAACGCAGGGCGGAGACGAAACCAACTCCAATCAGCCGTTAAACTAAAACGAGCCAGCAGCAAGGTGCGCGCGCTGGCTCCCGCAATTGAATGCCCCATAATCTCCGTCTCGCGAATTGGCAGAAAAGCGAGCAACGTTACTGTTGGTGGATATGTGGACGGACATGAGCGAGTACTAACTGTGGATACGGGCGCATCACATTCCATCATTCGATCTGATTTGGTCACTAAAGAGGTAAGGCCATTACCTGGAGCAAGGTTGAGGACAGCAACTGGTGAGGACACCCAAGTTGTAGGGGAGGTAACATGCAAAGTCGCAATAGGGAATGTGACGGTGTTACACAAGTTCATAGTCGCGGCGATTATGGATGAAGTCATCATTGGATTAGACTTCATGCTTGATCAAGGTATGAAGATCAACATGAAGAACAGGATTATGACGTATAACAACATGGAAGTGCCCCTTCGGTTTGGGTATGATGGTCCATACAGCAGCAAGCGAGTGATCCTAGAGGAAAGCGAGCAGATTCCACCGAAGTCAGAAGCAGTTGTGTGGGCAAAGATTGATGGAGATTGTGGGACAAACAAATTGTGGGTTGTTGAAGCAACACAAAATTCTACACCGGACGTACTTATTGGTAAAACCTTGGCTAAGACGCAAAAGGATGGACGCATCCCAGTTCGAGTGCTCAATGAGTTCAAGTCACCAGTCAAACTCCGAAGAGGAACTGTACTGGGGCAATGTCGAGAGGTAGAGGCAATCTTCAACTGCGAAAAGTTACCTGAAAGCGATTCCATTGGCGAGAATGACATTGCGGAAGATATTAATGCATGGACGGAAGGGTTGGAAGAAAAATACCAGCACAAGGCTAAGGAACTTCTCCGAAGATACTGCAACATATTCGACAAGGATGGCGACAAACCAGGCAGGACTAACGTTGTGAAACATCGCATTGATACTGGCGATGCAAGGCCAATCCGTCAAGCTCCTCGGAGTGTTCCACTTGCCAAACGTGAAACTGTTAGCCAAATAATAAACGAAATGAGCGAGAGTGGTGTGATTGAACCATCAGCGAGTCCATGGAGTTCGCCGGTAGTACTTGTGAAGAAGAAGGATGGTCAAATGCGGTTCTGCGTAGACTACCGGAAACTAAACGATGTGACGAAAAAGGACAGCTATCCTCTTCCCAGGATCGATGACACTCTGGACTCGTTGACTGGAACAAAGTCGTTCTCAACACTCGACCTTAAGAGCGGTTATTGGCAAGTGGAGGTAAGTGACGAGGATAAGGAGAAGACAGCTTTCAGCGTTGGAGACGGTCTGTGGCAATTCACGGTGATGCCCTTTGGATTATGCAACGCTCCTGCCACTTTTGAACGACTTATGGACCATGTGCTCAAAGGACTGCATTGGAAAACATGTTTGGTGTATCTAGACGACATTATCGTATTGGGTAAAAGCTTTGAGGAACACCTGAACAATTTGGAAGAAGTTTTCCAGAGGATAGCTGGCGCTGGTCTGAAGCTAAGTCCTAAAAAGTGCTCACTGTTCAGGAAGGAGGTGAACTACTTAGGGCACAAGGTGACAACGGAGGGCATCTGTACTGCGAAGGAAAAGATAGAAGCAGTAAAGGATTGGCCAAGGCCTAGGAACCTGCACGAACTACGAAGTTTTCTTGGGCTATGCACCTACTACCGCCGATTTGTTCCGAATTTCGCCAGCGTTGCTAAAAGCCTCCACGAGCTCACTAGGAAAAATAGAGCCTTCGAGTGGAACAAGGAGCAGGAGGAGGCTTTCCAGACTCTAAAGGAACGACTATGTACTGCACCTATGCTAGCGTATCCCGTTCCAGGTGCAACGTTTATTTTGGATACGGATGCTAGTGGTTATGCCATAGGAGGCGTACTGTCGCAGTTAATTGATGGGCAGGAGAAGGTAGTTGCCTACTATAGCCGGTCGATTGGAAAACCAGAGAGGAACTACTGCGTAACTCGGAGAGAACTACTAGCGTTGGTGGACTGCGTCAAACATTTCCACAAGTACCTCTATGGGCAACGTTTCCGAGTTCGAACGGACCATGCAGCGCTGAAGTGGCTACTACAGTTTAAGAATCCAGAAGGACAGCTAGCTCGGTGGATTGAGAGACTGCAAAGTTATGACTTCGCTATTGA